TCAGAAATAATAGTACCAGTGTCGTTGATCAATTGCAGAAAGATGGAAAAAAGGACGAGTATTTTTTTGTAGTCATTATAAGCTACTTGTTAGAATGTTGTGTTTAAATTGAAATAGGATTTTAATATTATTTATTATCCTCTTCTGACTCGACCTGCGGTAATATTATCTTCCATACTTTGGTATTTGCATTGAGTCATTTCTGTCGCATGTGTTTGGTGTAGACTCGATGAACAAGGATTCAGTAATCAACCTCTCTCTCTCCACCTATCTCTAGATTACTTTTAGAATTTTAACTCTATCCCACCCTATTGTGTGGTTGTTTGTTATTGCGTGAAGTGCCATAGCTGAGCTTTTCTCTAAATTACTTATCTTTTCAGGGTCAACCATTCTTACCTTAGCTAAGTTCTTATGTTCCGACAATCTGACTACCCCTGACCTACTAGTTTGACCTATGTAGTTGACCTCACAGTCATTGCATGGTATTTTGTAAATTATATTATTTTGTTTAATTGGATCCACCGGGTCTTTCAGCCTACAGAGCTTGTCACATCTGAGTTAGTTTGTAGGTTTGAATGCCACCCTAATTCCTGCTTTATTACGAATCCTACGTAGGGGATCAGATGTCCCCTCTTTATGTGGTAAAACTGTAGATGACTTATATTCTCTCATTTCAACTTATATTCATCTCATCCGTTAACGCTTAAGGCAGGCTTAGTGAAGTGTGTAACAAACAAAGCCATAACACTAAGTAGCACAACAAAAGAACTAGATGAAGAAATAAAACAGATACATGAAGCGTTGGAGATGAATAACCATCTGATATGTATCCACATATATATATTTATGTGTGTGTGTATGTTGGTCTCTCTTTCTGTTTGCTCTCTTAGTCTGTGACCATTTCACTTGTATGAACTTGTCTCCTTTAACAATGTATATTCTCCTTATATTATATTATATATAATATGAGTGTTTGTTGACAGTCCGTTGCTTGGTGACATATATCCATATATGGTGTTGTTGACATGTCTGCTATATTTCGCTATGTATATATGGATCGATATTTCATTATAATTAGCCATTCATGTTAAGACTGTCTAATGATTTGTTCACACACTTTGTCTGGAACATTCATATATATTTCGCATTCACAATTTGTGTGACCTACTTACTTTGGTGTGATACCATTTATTGCGTCTCCTTGTGTTGGAAAATAGAAGTATCATCGCAAACCTAGTGGTCTTCTGATTTCCGCCTTCTTGCGTCAGGACTATTAGTTTCTCGACCAGTCCATAACAATAATTTAGCGACGAGTACATAACAATTTGGCGACGGGGAAAACTACTATTAACCACTCAGCAGCAGCAACATAACAATTTACTATGGATCCTTCTAAATTGGAATTATTGTTTGAACGACAAATGAAATTAATGGAAATGTTCGTCAACCAACAGACTGGTCCAGCTTCACCTTCAAGCAATCCCAATCATACCATGCTACCATCTGTCGACGGCATTGTGAACAGTATTTCACAGTTCAATTATGACCCAGAGGCTAATGTCACTTTTGACACATGGTATCAACGTTATGAGGATTTATTCACTGTTGATCTCGCCTCACAAGACGATGCCTGGAAGGTGCGAGTGTTGTTACGTAAATTGGGTCCGGCAGAATATGAACGGTACTGCAACCTAATTTTACCCCAGAAACCACGTGACAAGTGTTTCGATGATACAATAAAGCTGCTGCGTGAACATTTTGGAGACCACTCCTCATTATTCAGCATACGTTATCGTTGCCTCAAGCTGACAATGAATGAAAATGATGATTTTCTTACTCACGTTGGCACAGTCAACCGAGAATGTGAGAGATTTCGACTCAGGTCCTTAACAGATGATCAATTCAAAGCCTTGATTCTCATATGCAGTCTTCAATCTCCTCGTTTCACAGATATCCGAACTCGACTGCTCAATCAGCTAGAACAAAATCCCAAGTTAACATTACATGACATAGCTGATGAATATCAACGGCTGATTAATCTGCAGAAAGACACACACCTGGTCGAATCAACACCTTCGAGAAGCTCTGATATTCGTGCATTACGAAAGAGCAAAAATCTCTCATCATCTACTCCTGACCCACCTACTTCTCCTAATGTTCCGCGGAAATCTACACATACTCGTCCAACTTCACAAAATACTGCAAAGAAGACCCCACCATCACCATGCTGGCATTGTGGCGCGTGGCACTTTGTAAAGTCTTGTCCATACAAAAATCATCGTTGCAGCAAGTGCAAAATCATCGGTCATAAAAATGGTTTTTGTCAGCCACGCAAACTCAGATATCAAAATCCAGCAAAAGCTCGACAAACTGTTGGTCCTAAATCTCCAAAAAGATCATTGAGTCTACGCGCAACCTGTCAAGTCACAACACCAGGTATGCGGAAATATCTTGATCTTCAGATGAATGGTCATGATGCACGTCTGCAGCTAGATACCGCCTCTGATATTACTGTTATATCAGAGAAACTTTGGAATAATATTGGCAGACCACCTATCACCAATACTTCCCAGTCTCTTGTCAGCGCCTGTGGTGGGCAGCTCAAACTTATTGGTGAACTCAAATGTTCTGTTTCCTTCCGCAATACCAAATTCACAGGAATTTGCTACGTCACCAAGAGTGATTTAAATCTTTTGGGACTTGATTGGTTCGATCGTTTGCATCTGGCTGATGTCCCACTAAATTCGCTATGCAATGCAGTCAAGAAGCATAAAATGTCAGACAATTCCGGACGAAGCCGAAGCCGCAAACCCAACAGGCAGACGAAACGACAGACGTCAACAACAAGCTCAAAGGTTCCAGATAAACCCCCAGGTAAACATCCTACTAATCATCAATCTTCTCAAAAGGGGAGGTGATATGTATCCACATATATATATTTATGTGTGTGTGTATGTTGGTCTCTCTTTCTGTTTGCTCTCTTAGTCTGTGACCATTTCACTTGTATGAACTTGTCTCCTTTAACAATGTATATTCTCCTTATATTATATTATATATAATATGAGTGTTTGTTGACAGTCCGTTGCTTGGTGACATATATCCATATATGGTGTTGTTGACATGTCTGCTATATTTCGCTATGTATATATGGATCGATACTTCATTATAATTAGCCATTCATGTTAAGACTGTCTAATGATTTGTTCACACACTTTGTCTGGAACATTCATATATATTTCGCATTCACAATTTGTGTGACCTACTTACTTTGGTGTGATACCATTTATTGCGTCTCCTTGTGTTTGGAAAATAGAAGTATCATCGCAAACCTAGTGGTCTTCTGATTTCCGCCTTCTTGCGTCAGGACTATTAAATTCTCGACCAGTCCATAACAATAAATTCTCGAGGAGTACATAACACTGTCCTATACAATTCATCAGGAATTTCAGTAAAAGCCAAAAGTAAAATAAAAATAATGGTGAAACTATTAATGATAACACAAATAAGAAAGAATATAATTCATCCACTGTTATACCATATAAGGAAGGGACATCTGAGGCCCTACGTAGGATTCCTAATAAAGCAGGAATTAGGGTGGCATTCAAACCTACAAACTCACTCAGAGACAAGCTCTGTAGGCTGAAAGACCCGGTGGATCCAATTAAACAAAATAATATAATTTACAAAATACCATGCAATGACTGTGAGGTCAACTACATAGGTCAAACTAGTAGGTCAGGGGTAGTCAGATTGTCGGAACATAAGAATTTAGCTAAGGTAAGAATGGTTGACCCTGAAAAGATAATAATTTAGAGAAAAGCTCAGCTATGGCACTTCACGCAATAACAAACAACCACACAATAGGGTGGTAAAGTAATCTAGAGATAGGTGGAGAGAGAGAGGTTGATTACTGAATCCTTGTTCATTGAGTCTACACCAAATACATGCAATAGGGATGATTCATCAGTCATACCCGAAATATGGAAAGTACTACTGCCAATCATATCAAGTGAAAAATAATGGAACTATATAAATGAAGTTAGGAAGTCGTGTGAGTAGTGTCTTGATATGATTATGAGCAGTAATAAATTGTGCTCGAAACGTGGTCATCAGTAAACATTACTGTATAACAGTGAGACTTCATCAAAACAAAAATTTACCGATAATGGAATTAAATTGTAACAACTGCGAAAAACACTACATTGGCCAAAGTGGACGTCCTGCTCTTCGTCTTTGTATCCACGAACATAAGCTAGCCGGCTAAAGACATGATATCCACTCTCTCATATCACTACATACAGACAACCACGGACATCAATTCCACTGGAACAACCAGCGTTCAAATATTATACAGAGGAAACAACAATAATGCTACAGAATTTTTAGAAGCTTGGCATTCCAGTGAATCATCAATCAATAGACATTGAGGTAGACAAAATTTATCAACCGATAAGAAAGAAACCTCATACACAAAGATTCAAAGTTCAAGTCAAAGAAACAATCACCTCCAATACAAGTAACCTAGAAGGTGTGAAAACATACAAAAACAACCAATCACGTCGAAGGTCACCAACCAGGAGAGATGATCAATAAACTCGTGGAAAAATCTAAAAGCTCACTTCGACGAATTGAAGTATGTGCTGAGAATGTCGCCTAGTAGGGCGATGAAAGCTTCGCAAACTAACTATCCAGCTCAGAGAACACAACCACATTAAAAAGACAAAGAAAGTATCATGCATTCCGACTTGGTCAACTGCACCAGCACCCGCCTAACTACCTACATAGCTGATGTGACACTGCTTGGAAATATTTAATAGTATTACAAGTTGTCAGAGAATTTGTCGTCACAGAAGGATATTCCCTTGAAGTACACTCTTAAACTACCAACTCAATCATAGATACATTGACACTTGGCTATTATTCGTGTCTACAACGACTAGTTAAGGTGATACTAGCTAATCGAGCTCCATCATGACTAGGTGACACTAACTAATTAGTCATCATGAAAAATGAAGTCTTCTCTCCTGTTAAAGTTTGCCAAGAAGTAGACTGTAGACACTGTGCTCAATCTGCAATAACAGTAGACACTCTCTTTCAAATAAGTACTTTCCCCCACCTCCCACTTATTGTCACACCCTGCTGACGATTCAAAACAATCCATCGACGTAAAAGCGTAGATGCAAGCGAACATAAACCTGAACCAATAAGTGACAAATACAATTCCGCCACTAGACAATTCAAATTATTAAACAAATACATTTCAATTTTGAAATTAATTACGTATCATCAAAATGAGAAATATAGTATCAAGGCAAAAACCGTTTATGCCTACGACAAAAAAAACACACTTCAAACTGTGCTTACCTCATTATCAGCAAGTTGGGCAGCGACCCTCATTTGCGAAAGTTGACGTTCAAGTTCCTGTTGATAAGATGCTTGTAGACGAAAACTTTCAAATTCTTTTTGCTTAATAAACATAAGATACTTTATACAATTTATCGGCCAATATCTTTTGGAAAACAAACAGTTATACTCAACTCAGCTGAACTCAAAACCAGACAGTTTTGCTGGCTCGATATAACAAGTTGCTCTGTTAATAATGGCAATAATAATTACAACAAAAACAACAACAACAACCACAACAATAAGTGAATGTATTTGTGAATCCTCCAGTAATACGTACACCATACAGATGTTCAAGGCAAAGGGTTAATAGATGTAAGCGTTTTGGTGTACATCATACTTTGTAAGACACCAGCTTTACGAATACCTACCTAATGCTTCTAATTTCTTTCATTCACGCGTCAATCTCTACACACAAAAATAGTTCACCATGAGCGAAATAAGAATAGTGATCATAATTTTCTGCAGGAAAGTTAGTTATTCTGACTTATTATTACTACTACTATAACTACTTGATATAGTGAGATCATTTTTCACTCCAGTTGTTCTCTTAGTGCATTCGCCAACATTTCACGATGACTCGCACACACCAGAATACAGACAAAAAAATGAAATTCTACAGCTCCGTAAACACGGTCATATTATTAACAAAGGGAATAATGCACATGGTGGTAGCTGTTATTACCAGTACTGATCGAAACTACTTAAACAATTCTGCAAGTGATCATTTAAATTCGATCAGAAAACTCAGCACACAACACAACAGTACAACAAAGTCTTATAACTACAAAATTTATAACCAGAACTAAGTATACTGCACCAAGTTCTAAATGTCAGTCATTCTCTTAGCTTCACTTATGTCATACACTTTATCACAACAATCTGTCTGCATTTAAAACATGCAAAAAATCAGTGCTGTAAAACCAAACCAAATTCACTGAATTAAGTTGGACGGCCTTTGAAGCTATATGGGCACTGGGTTCGAGTCTCGGTGGGAACATCATCACCCACTGGGGACACAGCAGGCACATCCAGGTGACGAGTTCCAAATAGGACGAAATGCACATCCAAGTGGATTCCACTGCTAGTCACCATCCATCAATTACATTCTAATTACATGGCTAGACATTGTCGACGCCTCTGCACAAGATCCCGACATGTCAACCTAAGACCGAGCACTTCGGTCCAATCAACCGGCGGGAAAATCTAAATTTCAATTAAATAACTTGGAAAAATACTTTCAAAGATGCCATTCCGTCAAACTTCCTCTTCTCCTCTGTCTGTCTGTCTGTCTGTCTGTTTTCGACATAGAACTTTGCACAAATGTGCGGAAGTTCAAGTCGCCACATTCCGTGTAGCACGCGAAGCAAGAGAAGAAAGTACAAGAAAAGCATAATAGAAACAGTGAGCAGAGGTGTGAGACAAAGGAATAGTAATAAAGAAAAACAAAACAGTTTTATTGGAGATCATAAGTCATAAGGAGTGGATGCATCTGCGCCACTGAGAACGATTTTGAGCCATGTCACCAATTGTTTTCCCCACTGCTGCCGAAAATAAACGCCCTGTGCTCCACTGAGAACGTGAAGGAATAAAAAAAATAAGTGTGTGGTGAACAGTATTATATTGGTCAATAATATATATATATATATATATATATATATATCCGTATGTCTTTGTTTTTCCGATCAATATAGGACAGAGAACCTTACCCCGTCAAATGGTGAACATAAAGTGTCTGTTACTACTAATATGTATGATAATAATAATTCCGGTACCAGTGTGAAACGTGATGCCGATGGCAATAGTGTTGCCAATGGCAGTAAAAATTATTTCCAGAAAGAAGAAGAGGTAGAGGACGACGATGACGACGAAGCAGAGGCTGAATCTGAAGATGACGATCCAATCAAACGTTGTTCCCCGGCTGTTTTACACAAAGCTAATCGATTGGCTGCCTTACTTATCCAACAATCACCTACACTATGGACTTTACCTGCTTCATTACGTTCATTATTAGATACACTGGTATGTATTTCTTTTTTATGAATTGTTTATTTTTTATATGAGTGAAGAACTTTGGACGATTGAAGGTTTCAATCTTCGAGCACTTTGAAGTTTCAGTAACCGTTGTGGCGAAATACGGTGTCGTTGAGTTTTTGTACTTAACTAACCGTGCGAATATATAACCTTTCACAATGACTTCCTATCTGATGAGATGCAAGGGGTGGGTGGGTTGAGAATAGGAAGGTGTTGTGAGTAAGGCAATGTAGGTGTCTATTGATTACTGTCTGTCTGTTTTCGACATAGAACTTTGCACAAATGTGCGGAAGTTCAAGTCGCCACCCTCCATGTAGCACACAAAGTAAGAGAAGAAAGTACAAGAAAAGCATAATAGAGACAGTGAGCAGAGGTGTGAGACAAAGGAGTAATAACGAAGAACAAAACAGTTTCATTGGAGATCATAAGTCACAAGGAGTGGATGCATCTGCGCCACTGAGAACGATTTTGAGCCATGTCACCAATTGTTTCCAACCATAGATTTTTACCGTCCCGAGGACCCCAGCCTGGAAGTCTACACCTTCCTACGTGGCTTAGACCAACTGTTGTGGATTTCATTGACTGGTGAGGCCAAGTTTTTGTTTGACCGCCGCTAGCTTTTTTCCAGCCTGACCCTATATCCGCTAACATAGCTCGTCGAGGGAGGCGATGGCTTGGCATACGTAACACATGTCCTAACCATCTCAGTCTTTGTAGCTTCACGACTTCGTCGATTGATTTCCCCTGTTTACCTAGAACTCTACGCCTAACCTCAATGTTGCTCACCTTATTATGCCACTTTACACGGGAAATAGAACGCAGGCACCTATGATCAAAGACAGCTAGTCTTTTCATGTCTTCCACTCTCAGTGGCCAGGTCTCACAACCAATAAAGGAGGACGGAGCGGACTGATGAGCAGTACACCCGCCCTTTGGTCGATAGTCGAACATCTCGTCTACGCCAGAGTCGGCGTAAACTAACAAATGCGAAACGAGCCCCTTGTATTCGTGCTGAGATTTCGTCAGAGATCAGCCCGTTGGCACTGGCTGATGGTACTTCCCAAATAAGTGAAGCGGTCAACGTGCTCTACCACTTCACTTCCTATTTTTAAACTAGGCGTCGATGTAGTCCAGTCCTGTAACATCATCTTGCATTTGGCGGGAGCGAATCGCATGCCAAACATTCGTAGATTGCGGCTCAAGGTGTTTAGAAGACTCTGCATTTCGTCAGCGTCTTCGCCTAGAAGGACTATATCGTCTGCATATTCCAAGTCAACGAGATTATTCCCCGGTAGCAAGTCAATCCCTGAGTCGCTGAAGTCACTTAGGGTTAAGTCCATTAACACATCTATGATGAAGTTGAATAGAAAAGGAGATAATGGGCATCCTTGACGGACACCACTGGTCGTCATCAGTTCAGATGACAGCTCGCCGTAAGCCCTCACCTGGCTGTATGAGTACGAGTAGAGTGCCTTAATCAGTGCAATATATTTTCTCGGAATTCCCTTTACAGCCAAGCATCTCCAGAGAACTTCCCGATCGACAGAGTCGAATGCTGCCTTTAGGTCAAGAAATATAATGACTGTTGGACGCCGGTAGGAATGCCTATGTTCTAGAATCTGTCGGAGGGTGAAGATATGATCAATACACCCTCTTCCTGGTCTAAAGCCTGCCTGGCTCTCTCGTGTTTGTGCTTCCCGAGCACCACTCAGTCTACGCATGATTATTGAGCCTAAGACTTTAGATACTATATTAGTCAAGCTAATCCCTCTGTGATTATCACAGGAAGACTTGTCTCCCTTCTTGTATATGGGGATAATCAGTGACTTACACCAACCCGATGGGACTTCTTCTGATTCCCAGACGCTGCCTAGTACCTCAGTTAATCCGGACAGTAAGCTGTCTCCACCGTACTTAAATACCTCTGGAGTCATTCCATCAGGTCCCGCTGCTTTGCCTAGTTTCAGATTGGTGACAGCTTTAGTAACCTCAGTTAGTGATAGAAGACCTGTGTCTATATCCCATTCAGGGAGGTGTTGGATGCTCGGAAGGTTGAGCGTGGCTGTGGGCCAATTAAACTGCTCCTCATAATGCTCTTTCCAACGATCCAGTCGTCTATCCTGGGAGCTAATTATAGTGCCATTTTTTTCCGAGATTGTCTCACTGATGATTTGTCTTCTCCCACCCGTTTCCCTGATGAGTCCAAAGAGTTGCCTGGTGTTGCCTATCCTCGAAGCTTTCTCCATCTCTTTGGCTTTTGTCGCCCACCACTGTTCACGGTCCTTGCGGAGACTTTTCGTAAGTTTCCTCTTGTGCAGCTTTCGCTCCTCATTGAATTCGGAGCTCGCCGGTATAAGTCTTCAAGCATCTCTAAGTTCACATGAGGCGGAGGAGACCCAGTGGTTTTTACTCACCTTTGGGTTTACCTTACTCTTCTCCTCTGCCTTTCTCAAGTATGGAATTTAATACATAAGCAATCCGATAATTAATACATCACAATAATTGATGCATACATGCAAATGTTACACCACTAGGCACCACCATTACGCTGTTTACAAATAACTGTACAACATCACACAATACCTCCAATATATAGTTTATGAAATAACCATTGTGAAACTGCATCACATACCTTGGCTTTCAGACGACTGTTTTCCTCCAAAAGTTTCTCATTTTCTTTACTCACATGATCCATAGATTTCAATTTCTCTCTAGCATCCTTCAAACTATCCTGTAAACTGAATCACAAAACAAATTATCTCATAAACTCCTTGTTCAACTACAAATTTCCACTACGACAGCATACCAGAATGAAAATCAAATGCTTCTAGACATTCTTCTTAATTTTAAAAACCTAATACCAAAGCTTACAAAACCACAGGGGATTTCTGCTACTTCATGCCAACTGACTGAGTGAGAACACTGATTCCGGAAAGCCCCAAACATCATCGGGAGCCAAAGCTGTTCAAACGACAACTCACGAAGTTTTCGCAACCACCACCGACAATGGTGGACGACAATAGCAGAAGAAATGCAAAAGTCAAACCACAAGTGAGACAGCCTGCGAGGAAAGTCACACATTAATTAGATCTCAGGGTAGACAACTGAAACGTTGAGGGGAACACCTTCAGGAGAAATGTAACTAGATCACAGCCACGCTCAATTTTTCCACTATCCAGCACCTACCTAGATGCTGTGTAGATATCAGCCCTACACATGTAACTCATATCACAAAGACTGTCTCTAATCTGAAACAAGGGAAAGAAGCACCATCCCCAGTGGGACCACCCCACTAGTATTTAACTACGGTGACAAACTGTTCTCTCGGTAAGCTAAGGTATTAGGCAATGTCTAGGAGTCACACATACTTCCGTCAGACTGGTTTAAGTCTGGTTAACCCTGTTTGTTAGAAAAGAGAAAAGTCTTACTGTGATAATCAATCAAAAGTGGAGTGGCCTCACTAATATGGGGTCTAAAGTTCAAGGTTCAAAACTCAAGCCGAGATTAAATGGTGCTCTGAAGAGAAAGAGTAACACGGGGAAACCAGACAGGCTTTAGGCAAAGAACATAATGACTCCAACATATCTTCATCCTTCAACAGATTCTTGAACAGACATACTTACCTGCATCCAAAAATTGCCACATCTCGCAACCTCAAGGTGGCATCCGACATTGACTGTCAAGGCAGTGTAGAGAAATTATATCGCACTAACTAACGCACTCCACTCGTACTTATCAAGGCGTGTAACAGCTTACAGAGAGTTGTCATCTCAAGCGACGTCCATCACGCATGCCTCTTGTCCCCACTTCTCTTTAGGTTCCACCGTACATGTATTGATGCAGTCCACCCTATTTCACTTCAGCGACTTACGGATTGACTTGGCATCAACGAACAGTCCTGTCAACTTAGACTATGCAGATGATATAGTCCTCCTACATGGAGATACTGATAAAATCAACAGTCTCCTCAATACCTTGACCAGTGGTCTTCGAATGTTCCACATGTGGTTTGCAGGTGCAGGAATGGACTGAACGAACTCTGAGCTTAAAGACACCCGGGGAATCGAGTGATAGAGCGTGGTGAATACTTCACTTATTCGGCAAGTTGCATCAGTCACAAGGCACTAGTGATTGGCGACGGAATCTCGTCACACATACAAAAGGCTCCCGTGGGATTTGCCAACATACGTTGTCTCTCGTGTAGACATGATATTTGGCTACTGATCAAAGCACGTGTGTACTGCCCAGCAGCAGTTCGCTCCGTCCTCCTTTACCGTTGTAACGCATGGCCACTGAAAGTGGAAGACATAAAATTCCTGCCTGTCTTCAATCATAACTGTCTGCGTCTTATCCCCATGTTAAATCGCATTATATAGTGAGCGATATTCACGTTAAGCGGACTGTTAGGTAAGGAGGGAGAGTCGATCGATGAGGCTATGAAGGTGAACTAATCGATATGACCAGCACACGTGTTCCACATTCCTAGTTTTCACCTTCCTCAACGAGCAATGTTAACCAACATATGATTCAGTTGGGAAAGAGTTTGAAGTGGTCAAACAAAAGCTTCACATCATTCCATGCTATCTTTTACAGGTAGTTCCGGCTACGTCGGGAGGGAGATGTAGGCCGTTTGAATGGTGTCGTCAGGATGCTATGAACCAATGACTCGAGACAATAGGTGATACGGCTCAAAATCTTTCTCAATAAAGCAGATGCATGCACATCCTGTCATCACACATATCCACCGTACTGTCATATTTTCCATGTTACTAATCTTTCTCTATAACATTCCTAGTGAGTAAACCCTTTTCCTCTATCTCTGTTGTCTACTTCGGTGTGCTACATCCAATGTGGCAACTTCAGCTGCTGCACTTCTCTACTAACTTCTATGTTCAGACTCAGTCTCAGTCAGAAATTTTCAAATCCTACTGGAAGTCTATATTTAAATGACGCTAAGCATGATCGCGGTTTTTAACATAATTGATATGTATCCACATATATATATATATATATATATATATATATATATATATATATGGTGGTCTCTCTTTCTGTTGCTCTCTTAGTCTGTGACCATTTCACTTTGATGAACCTGTCTCCTTTAACGATGTATATTCCCCTTATATTATATATAATGTGTGTTTGTTTGACATGTCTGTTATATTTGCTAGGTATATATGGATCGATATTCCATTATAATTAGCCAATCATGTTAAGACTATCTATTGATTTGTTCATTTTGGATGTTCGCTCACACACTTGTGTTTACACACTTGTTCGGACATTCATATACATTTTTGCTCTCACACTCTTGTGTGACTTGGATTCTCCTTGTGTTTTGGAAAATAGAAGTATCATCGCAAACCTAGTGGTCTTCTGATTTCCGTCTTTCTTGCGTCAGGACTATTAAATTCTCGACCAGTACATAGCAATAATTTGGCGACGAGTACATAACAATAATACAACTGCATATGTATCCATAAATTACAACTTACTCATCAACAAGATTCGATCGCTTTTCATGATGTGAACGCATTTCAATCTCACACGTCAACTCGTCACGTAATTCCAGTAACTCTGATTCACGTCGCTTCAGACGCATCTCAACCTCTTTTCTCTTCATTTCCGAAGTCTTTAGCTCTGAATTTAGACGATTCAATTCGCACATATTTTCTTCATACAAATGCTGGATCTCCGAGAGTTTTGAAGATAAACATCGTATTTCATCCAATTTAGACAGAAATTGACTCTAGACAAAAGGTATACAAGTGTAAATCAATAGTAACTGTCACACTAACCTCCTCATCAATTTAGATGTATTTATTTATATCCTTATTTTACTTTTCATGTTTAGACTGAAGAGAACGAAAATTGATTACTAATTGATATAAGCACTTCAATTATCTACTACAATTCGAGAAATGATAACCCTTCAAAAGTTTATTTATCTATTTACGCGATTGTGCACATGGAAACCCAACGCTAATAAGCATAACAAGTCAGCTAGAAAGTATCTCTAGTCTCACGGAAATACAACCTTCCATTTTATTTTCATCATTTTGCACCAGTTCATAGTCGAGAGAAGACATGGAAGCGATTTGTCAAATAGTGTACAATTCTCTGTTGGCCTTCACAAAGAGCTATAAATCTCAAGCTATGTGATTTCAAATTACTCCAGGTGGTAAATTGAAAACACAATTGCTTTATTCTGCTTTCTTTTCTCATACGATTAAATTAGGTGTTGGCAGGATAGGCAGTTCATCGAGGAAATGACTCAAATGAACATTATAATTGACAAACTCCATTGTGATTTCCTCTAAAACATAGTTAAAACTCATCGGTTTTCAATATTAGTACACATAACAAAATGCATGACCTGTACAATCAGTTGATAAGTAGTCAAAATACACTACTGTATACCAGCTTCACATTTTCTACACAATGCACTAATATCTTCAACTCGTTGAATACACTTTATGTCATACGCTGAAACCACTTTACAATAATTCCTTAACACGTCCTCTGCCTTCATCGTAGACGTTAAACACCTGAACAAAACGTACTGTAACATTTGCACTACAAACACACTGGACAACATTCGCCTACCTTAGGGACGACCTGTGGTGATTCTAAAATTGACTTCAGACAATACAGTGGTGATTCGATTACTGATTCAAAGTCAGCCTTTGTCACATAACTTTTCACTTTATGCACGTCACAACTAGAATGAAAACACTTTCCTGGAGACAAATAAATTGAATGACCAGTTAATTTGTAAGGGCCTTCATTCTCGGTATAAAAATCATCAAATGATACTTTGGAATTGACCATTGTTTTCTCCTTGTGTCCAAACGGTAACGATGGGACTCTTGAGAAGGCAGGGCAAGTCAGAGGAGCTAACAAAAGTTTATTAACAAACGAAACTTACCCTTAAGAGACTTGATTTGACGGATTGGTGTAACTGCCTGATTCTCCGAGCCAAAAGACAGAGTCTCGAAAGAAGACACTGATATGGGGCAATCTTCAATCAGAGGTTGAGTCATTTCAACAATGTAATAATGCATTGTGCTAGGAAGCTGGAAGGCTGCGTTCATAAATAATTTGGGTTTCAAACGCAGTCCCATAGTTAGGACTAACAATAAAAGCTACATAATAGTGACATATTCATAAGACTTACACAGTAATGCGTGTACATCGGTGGACGATTTTCTTCACTGCTCTCCGGAATAACCGTGTTTACGTCAATGGAATAGAACTCTGAAACACTTACTACTAATCCAAAAAGAAACATACCTGACAAAATGCTGTACACCGTCTGAGGTATGCTTTCGATCTCCTCTCTACGGCAGAAATCGGAATCCTTCCTACGTGTGTGATACAAAATGTAAAGAGTAGTTGACTTTATCAGCTGTATCATATGCATGCATACACTAAAGTCAGAGAACAACATTCCAATCACGATATCAGTTAGAAATCTGCTTTAAAGTCAATATTCCGGACTCTCAAGTTTGCATATAAATACTGCATACTACACAATATTAAACGACAACTTCGGTAACAACTACATAACTTTCATAGCAAACAGTTAGCATGTTTTGGGATGAATTAGAGCTGTAGGTGACGTGCACAATTTCTAATCCAATCCCTATCTCATTTCTATTTGAAAACACTTCCGAAACAAACATGGACGATTAACATCCAACATACCGAATAATTATATATTTATTGTTTCATGTATGAATATAACTTATGGCTAGATTGTAATGCGAACAAGAAACAAAAATCATGACGAACTCCCACCGCCAAATGGATGCAAGTCTTGCTATCGTATGTATTACATACAGGTATTCATTATCAGACATGAATTTACAAATTCTCTAGACAGATGATGGTTTTCGAATTTTAAAGAGACTATATTCTGGCAGTTTCGCTTTCTAAGCATTCTAAGCTGTCAGCATGAAGTCATACGTGTACACAATTCACCCACCAATGCCTCTGTGAACAGTTGAAGAAAGTGGTTCTCTGAGCACGTAGAATTGAAGTCAAAATGACTGGATCAAATTTTTCCACCCCTTATTCATAGAAATTGTTACTAGTAAAATCAATAAAGATAGTAAGTAACAGAGGAAAAGTGCACCTCAAATGAAGTCTTGAGTCACAATCAGTGTGATAGACTAAGTGCAGTAAGAAAACATGCCTAAGTTGATTAGCGTAGTCGCATCAGCATATCAAACCAACTTCTCCTAACTTATCACCCAGCACGAGTCATGCTTTCAATGCTATCCTTAACCGCTGATGTCAGTCGCTTTACTCAGTGTTTAACTTCTAGACAAAAGCTGGCGAAATAACAAAGTCACCACATTACCTACTAGGAGCTAGCTCACCGTCTGTCTGTCTGTTTTCGACATAGAACTTTGCACCGATGTGCAGCAGGTCAAGTCAACACACTCCATTTAGCACACAAAGCAAGAGAAGAAATGCATAACAGGGACAGTAAACTGAGGTGTGAGACAAAGGAATAGTAATAACGAAGAACGATATAGTTTCATTGGAAATCATAAGTCACAAAGAGTGGATGCATTCGCGCCATTGAGAAAGATTTTGAGCCATGTCACCAATTGTTTCCAGCCATTGGTCTTTACCGGCCCGAGGACGCCAACCAGGAAGTCTACACCTTCCTACGTGGCTTAGACTAACTGTTACAGATTTCACTGACTGGTGAAGCCATGTTTTGGTTTGACCGCTGCTAGCTCTTTTCCAGCCTGATCCAACATATGTCAGTCAACTAACATTGACCGTCGAGGAAGGCGATGGCTAGGCATATGTAACACATGTCCTAGCCATCTCAATCGACGTAGCTTCACAGCCTCGTCGATTGAATTCCTCTCATTACCTAGCACTCGACGCCTCACCTCAATATTGCTCACCCGAATATATCACTCTATACTGGACATGGAACGCAGGCACCCATGATCAAAGACAGCTAATCTTTTCATGTCTTCCACTCTCAATGGCCAGGTCTCACAGCCATAAAGGAGGACAGAGAGGACTGATGAGCAGTACATCCGCACTTTGGTCGATACCCGGATATCATGTCTACGCCAGAGACGACGTAAACTGGCATATGCTAAACTAGCCCTCTGTATCCGTACTGAGATTTCGTCAGATATCAACCCGTTGGTACTGGCTAATGGTACTTCTCAAATAAGTGAAGCGGTCAACATGAACTACTACCTCAATTCCTACTATTAAACTAGGAGTCAGTGTAGTTCAGTCCTGTAACATCATCTTACATTTGGTATAATCGAATCGCATGCCAACCCAATCGGACAAATGTGGGGACAAAGTGGGGACATTTTGGGGGAAATGGGGACAGAATGGGGACAACATTTTGAAGAATGGGGACAAAATGCGAATAATGGGGACACAATGGGGACAACATCTGAAAAATGGGGACAAAATGCGAATAATGGGGACAGAATGGGGAAGCATTTGAAAAGTTTTACTTACCTCGGTAGACTACTGAAAAATTGTAAGTAGTAAAATTTTTACGTCGGAAAAACTTCACCGAGGCTGGAAATTAATAAAACGCATGAATTAACTGCTGCATTTTGCGTAAATTAATGAAATCTACATTTCTTCTTGAATAATTTTTAATCTCACTGACCAATCAGTTCAGTTAGTGCCAAATTTCTTTGCTAAACGTAAATTATAGCGCTACATATGTCAGGGTTTGTTTTATTACACTTACACATCTCGCGCGCACTTTTAAACCGTTCAGCATGCAGGTAGGTGGTCGCTGTTCTCCCTTTTCTGTTTTTCTCCTAGTCTAACACTAAATACCCTATACTAAGCCTGAAGAGATTACGTGAGCGTAATCTACAATTGACCTGCCATTACACTACGTTTTACAGAAGGTATAAACGTAATTATGCGCAGATAATGGCCGAGATAAATGCAGCGTCGACATCAACGGAGGCTGTTTCACATGCTGTCCTTCCTGTTGAGGTCGAGCCCTCTTCAATGAACACTGAGAGTATGACTAATGAAATCGAGGTGGTGCCATCGACACCGTGCACCAGCGTAACACCATGTGCTAGTACTTCGGAAATGTGCACACAAGTCTCTTCTGAACGTTATGAATTGACAAATATGATTCTGAATATCCTAGTCACCACGAACATATCACAAGCAGACGCTAACAGAATCTTGGAGATATTCCGTGCAAAATTGCCTCAGCTACCAAAAACCGTTAGAAGTGTACTGAGAATGTGTGGGTCATGCGATTCTAGACTACTGGGAGAAGGAATGTATTGCCAAGTAATTTGTCGTTTCCCGGGATGATGAATTTGACCCATTGTTGTAGACACTTCACTTTGTTTTCACTTACTTCCATAGTTTTAGCTCTTACGTTTGGGCTAGCAAATAATCAGGAAGTTTGTGGGGACCAATGTTTGTCCAAGATCAAATTCTGTTGCGCAACAGAGAAAATCAGTCGTTAAGGAGATGTACGATGACAAACCACTTGAGTAGTGAGTGAACCGTCTTGATGAAATACGTTGGCTTAGTGTAGACGACCGAAGTCAACAGACTAGAACAAAGAAAAGGTAAGGGTCTGACAAGGTTCTCCGGAGTATCAAAGCGCCCCAACAGAGTTTGTGCGCCCTCTCTCGATAAGTTAAAACAATTCGATGTTTAGGTGCAAAGTATAGGAATTCTTCACATTAGTTAGCATACATATCTAATTTAACACAAGAACAGAAAGCCAATATAGCCGTCAGCAAAACAGTCGGTGGAGTTCCAGCTTTTAGCTTCAAGTTAATAATAGGGAACTCAGGAGTCTTAAATTTCTATACACTGCCATTATCCCTTATGATATGTTTGCCTTCCAGATTAGCGTAATATCTCAAACAGGTTTCTTTCACCGGTATTTCTCGATCGGAAAACAGGTATTCTACGAAGTAGCAGTGACACCAGCTACATTGTGTGCTGGAATTCACTGTTTTAGTGACACGCAACAGGTGAAACTATTATATCGACAACCGTACCATTCAACCCACTGTCTTGTTCTCTTCGGTGGTGTCTGATAGGTGATTTGACAACGCTGATCCACACTTTGCAGTATCGAATTGTTTTTCTCGCTTTATATCAATTATGATTCGTGTCGTGTATTTTTTGACAAGATTATCCTCTTCGGAGCATGATATACACACGCTTCAATCTTCATCGCGCCACGTATCCGATATCTAATATCGTTTTTACGAGCTAGTATAAACCAATTTGATTTCTTTGTGCTCGCTTCTTGATTGTAAGGTATAGGTTCCTGATCTTCGGTAAACTTCTGCGTATCTCGTCCAGCCACTCGACTGTCGTAGCTTTGGTTGACTCCAAAGGGAGTAGTGCTGGGATTACTTATATGTGGTTTGTAGTATGAGGTGTGTTAAGACTGTTACTACTGTGAATGAAGTTGATCCTTTCGATAGTTAGTCCTCCGGTATCGTAGACAAGAGGAAAGAGATAATAATAGATATAACTAGTGAAGTACACTGTACCAACTCTGTGAACATGTCTGTGTGTTCCACTGTATATTCAGTTCTGATGATCTCAGAGAGTCTCGTTCGAGCCACTTCACTGAATGATGTTAGTGGTTCCGAGTGAATAATTTATTGCACTTTTATATATAATTAAGTCTTTTGGAGTGCGTTATGGCGAATAGACTTGCGTATTCGTTGAAGATGTATTCGAACCGTTCAGATATCTCACAAATCTGAGTCCAGAAGATAACTAACCTCATAGGTTTCTTTATTAGGTTGTGATGGACTGAGTCCTAG